GATGTTTGTCAAATGTGTCAACAGGCCTCATGTTTCCCAATTTTATTCTGTTTAAGCTAAACACCAGAATTCCCTACATATGCAGGCAATATGAAATTATAATTTATAACACCAACCGAAGCAAAGTGAAGATTTCGTATAGGTTATTAACATTATTGCAATCTCCACAGAAATCTGATGCACCCCGATTTTGTTAGAACTATGTAATTCATGAACTGTGCCAATGTGGCAGGTTGTTTAGGGCTAAAATTAAAATGGTACATTTATTAACGACCTTGCCATTTCATACATTTCACATTAACATCATCATAATGGAACATTTAATACACATTTTATTCAATATTCATTGATTTCATAGTACATATTACATTAATAAATTGCAGTCATTTTTTTGCAAAAACAGTTTTTAAAACCCCAGAAATATGAAAGATAAGAACATGAAAGGCTGTGGGGAATTTATTTTGTTAATAGTTTTTAAAAAATGCAGTTTTTTTTCCACTTGAACACTGCAACAATTTCATAGTAACACCACAAATTTGTAAACAGGCTGATCTGGAAACAAAGGCAGTAATCAGAGTGATGTGGGAATAGATACTAGGGTTAAAATAATAACCCTATTTGCTCTAAATTGTCTAAGAAGAGTTTATTCACCACCAAAGACTTTTTTTTTTTAAACAGTATCTCTGAACTGGCACAGCTGTAACTTTGCTAATGGAAGTTATTGATATGATGCATAGTTTTTTTTTAAAATTATGCCATTTGTATTTTTAAATTATAGTCATCACTATAAGAATAAGTCACAGGTGGGGGAAAAACATTTCAACAGCTGTTGATACAAACAAAAAAAGTTCTTTAGAGGAAGAAAAAATAAATTTTCAAGTTTTTAACCAGGCTGGTGAAATATTTATTTTGGAAAATATGGAAAAACTGACTAAATTTCTTGTAAAATTGGGAACAAGTAATAGCTCTCAGTGCTTACAGTACTCATGGGTAATGGGACACATAACAAGGTGATAAAATATTCTTAAAACCACTTTCATGAACCGTATTTGTAAATACTTCTGCTCACAGGTCCTCTGTTTAATTTATAACCATCATTTCTCATTATGCACACCATACCATATCCATAATGACAAATAATGCTTGGTTTACATAATACAATCTAACAAAAGATTCATTATTGGAAAAAAACCATACCAAAAAATCCTGTCATCTTATTGGGTGCACTTTAAAACAAAAAGATATTTAACAGATTCTATCTTCTTTTCAGTAGTCATTAGACAAATACAGTCAATTTATAATGCAAACATTTTTAAAACCTGGTAAGAAATTATTTGTTAGCTTCAGTACATATTATTGGAAGTTGAAAATGATTGAGCAATCTAAACTATTTCTTACCCTATCTATTTGCTTGGTTGCCTGAGCATCTCAGTTGAGTCAATTTTCAGAATCAGTTTTGAGATACAGCATATCACTTACACTAATACAAAAACACTAAAGACATTCTTAAACCATTTAGACAAATACTTTCAATCCGATGCCATTGTCAAAAAGTAAATTGATAGTAAAGACATATAGAACAGTTTTTAGAAATAACTGAATCTGGTAGTTAATGACAAACTGCATTATAACACTATCATTGTGGAACTATCCCAGTTAAAGAGTAGGATACTTTTTTTAAAAATTGCAAATACCAGTAATACCAAGTCATTCTACCTTATAATATATTGAAAAAAAGTTAACAAAAATTGAATATCTCTTACTTACATATAAATATTTTTAATATTTAAAAATAAAATACAAGTTTTTTTTTTGGTTTATCAACAAAAGGTATATGTGGTAAACATATTCAATTTGGTTCCTTACCCTCTATTCTTCTTATATGCTTATTACAAACCTGTTAAAAATAAGCCTTAAAAAAAAACTACCAGTACAGAATTTGGATGTTATGGAGATTTTTTTTAAATGTCAAAATACATTATTAACCCTCGAAATGTGGTCGGCCGATATTTTTGTTCTGTGCTGTGGCGGCCGAAAAAATCAGCCAATTAAAAACACGGTCCGATTAAACTTCCAATCCAATATTCAGCCGCAATTATAGCCACTTCCTTTCATTAATAATTAAACCTTCTTCCGGTTCAAGGTTTTTCTTGATAACTTAAAAATAAGAACTTTTTAATCAGAGTTTTATATCACTGTTCTTTTTTAAAGCTAACATGGTTGAAGGCTATGGCTGGGCCTTCAGTGCAAGAACAAATATAAATATTTTTGAAAGCGTTTTAGAAGACGATTTAAGTGACACTGATGATTTTAACATTCCCCATGACAATATCAGTTGAGATTATTCTTCTCATGAATTTTATAACTAGTTAGACTTCGAGCCAGGCCCGGAGGTTGGGCAAGGACTGACTGAATATTAGTCACAGAAGCTACATATTATTGATCAGAACTAATAAATTTTATAGTTAAACAACCCAAATCAGTTCCACAGTTCCTTTTTAAATGTTTACTAGTCAATAATAACTATTTTTCTTGAGATTTTGTATTTTGTACTTCGTTTTGGCTACGGTCTCAGGTTCTTATATAAATGACCTAAAATCACTATAATTGCTTTCAGAGGTTTAATTGCAATCAAAACCTTAGCAAACTATACATTTTCTGAAAGATAAATGAATTGCCTACAACATTTAAATTTGCGTTTTAAGTGTATTTATAAAAATTAATGATGTTATGAGCACTTGAAAGCAAGACATTTTGTCGATTTTTTTTTTCTTGAGCACTCCAAGGTCAAGGACACTGAGAAAAATTTTTTTTACGGGGTGGGCAATATGGCCAACTTTATCCCCATACATTTACCTTTCTAAAAATATATACTTATTGGGGTCTTGTATCAATATTTCTATGTCATTTAATGCAATTTCAAATGGCACTCAAAACGCTCTGAAAAGCTCCACACCACAGAATGATGCATGCCACAGTTCGTGTGTTAACAATACATTTTATCCTTTTTATGGTATGTCTTAACTTGCATCATCCTATCGCTCATTTACTGCAGTACATCTGAAATATTCATATGGACAGAACTGTTGAAGAGATATGATTTTAACAAGGCTAAATATCAGTGATGAAGTTAAAGAGTTTTGTTCAATGACCAAAATACAAGGTACTTTGATGCAATGTGTTAGACACACAGCCCATGGCACATTATAAAAATTTATAAGAATTTATAGTAGGGTAGAAAACAAGTTATGGCTGAGGGATGAAAGAGTACAAAAATATCTTGCCAATGCATTGCAGAGCAAGAAATTTGAGATAATCACAGTGCTTTAGGACAATATAATAGGACTTTGATTTAACAGACACTTTATTCAACTAAACAAAATCAGCATTAATTATATGCATTCTTGACAATCTGCTATATCCCAGTATATTCTTCTCATCCCAAATACAACAACAGTTTTTCTTAGAACACACTTTTCATGCTTATTAAAAACACAATTGTTTCTGGGTAGACGGTAAATGCAGTTGTTTTTTTCTACACATCTGACATTACATTCACACTGACTTCACATTAGGCAGTAGGTCAAGGTTCATCAAGTACATTTTTATTCACATTTATTTTCTATGACTTGTCCAGTGCACGGAAATCTCTTGACACATAAAGATGTTCCATTAAGAAGTAAAATATTAACATATTATATAGGACCTTTTGCTTTGAGAGCGTTGCAGTAAAAGAGTGTTGAAATATTCAATATAGTATCATCAGTTGTGTAATTCAAATGTAAATTGCTTATTAAAAAATAAAATGCGTCTTCCATTTGTATGCAACAGATCTCAATGGCAGTATGTCATATTTATAATTTAAAGAGATAAAGACTGAACTCTCCTAATGTATCTTCAACATGACACCCTATCTGTTAGATGAAATACATTTCTGGAAAGAAAAACAAGAGAAAAAAAACATATAGATCAAATTATAGTAAGTTTGATAATCCAATTAGCCACATATTTTGATCAATAATTAGCTCTAGATTTGTCTCAAGAAAGTGAGCGACTGTCAACAAATAAAAGAAAAGGTGCTTAAATAGAATCAATGGCAAACATTTTGAGCCTGTCCAATAACTATAGCTGAGATGTCTATATTTAAAACAATTAAAAAAGAATGTAAGGCTTTTACTGCTGAAATGACTACACACGCGATATGGTTTCTCTTAATTATGAACAGAGAGGCATTTACTTTAACTTGCTAATTGAACTAATACGCTAAACTACGCCTTAGTCCAGAGGACTGCAAACTCAGTCAAAATAGCCAAAAATCAGCAGTAGGACTATAAAAAAAAGTTTGAGAATTGAGAGCCAAATTTCTTTTCAAGAATCTATCAAGAACCATGTTTTTCAAGGCAAACCAATTTGTGGCCAACCGGCCGAGCCGCACTCAGGTCGCTATAGAGCCGCATGCTGCTCGCAAGCCATGATTTGCCGGCCACCGACTTAGTCTGATTTAAACATGTACTTTACCTAAAATTATATTTATCCTTGGATCTGCTTTGAAATTTGTGTAGATAACTTGCTTGACTTTTCTACTGTCTGATATTCTTTTAAATTTAATGTATAATTTTTCAAAACAACAATCTCTCAACTCAGCCACATAATGAGTGTTTAGCATTAAACATTTCTATGGCTAAAATAGACAATACTTATAAGGAGTCTGTCAAAAAGGGATTGACTATAAACACTTTTTAATTTAAAAATGCATAATTTCAATTAAGCCATTTTTTTGTACCTCACACTAAAATACATCATTACCATTTACTCTTTAAGGATCATTATAAAATTACAAAGTTTTGAAGTGATACCTAAATATTCAATCCTTTCATAGTTTTTAGTGTCAAAACTGTAAGGAAAAGGTTTACTTTGCATAAATCACATCACAAACAGCTTTTTTAAAAAAAAAAAAATAAAAAAAAGTATAACCTTATTGATTACTAGAAATATTAGGTCTTGATTATAAATTTTGTTGTGATATTACAGTTGCTGTAACTTAGGGTAGCTTTTAAAAGAAACAAAAATTAATTCACACAAGAATGTTCGTAGTCTTTCAACACCAGGCTTAAATTTGCCAATTCAAAGTATTATAAAGCCATAATATTTGTGAAATTCAACAGTAACATTTAACCTTGCCCAATAATGCCCCAATCATATATTTGGCTGAAAAAAAAAAGAGAAAAAGGTTTGCTCTTTAAAAAAGATATTTACATCCAGCTTAAGTCATTAAACAAAAGTGAGCTTATAATTTTTTAAAGATTAGTTTAAGTTGAATTTAAGCTTGCACCTCCATAATTGAAGACAACAGATGAAACTAAGTATTGTCAGTCTTCACGCTACTTGAAAAGAAATGTAAAAAAAAAAATATTATTCCAATTGCAATAAAATAAAAATACTGTTCTTTTATACTATACGATTATACATTAAAAAAAAAAGTGTGATTTGTGTTCATACCTGTTATAACAGTTATTAATAAAGGAGAATGACACAAAAGGACAAACAAATAATCTTTATACAAAGCTCATAACAAAAATGTGTTTTGCCTTCCACTGCATATTTTTTTACCATAACATTTAAGAAATTCATGTAGGTGGCACAAATTTCTTGGTCCATTGTCAATCACATTTCGAGTGATTCTTTTAAAAATCATCCCCTCACTTCCATTTATACAACTGTATTTTCAGAGACCATTGTCAGTATTCCCAACAACTGTGGTGCCACTACTGTCAGCTGACAAATCTGGGGGGTGAGCAATGCCAACCGGAGCATCAATATTGGCATCTTGATTGTCATTGTCCCAGTGCTGTACAACATTATGGTCCCCATTCATGTGTCCAACATTAGCGATTGGTCCAGGAAGGGCTTGATCCTCTTCTTCATCTAACACAGCTACCTCATTGCTGCTGCCTTCCCCCTCTCCAGCTGTGACCACTACTCCCACATCATCACTGTTTTCATCCCAGACATTCTCAACAATATTTACAATGGGCTCATTCAGCTCAGGGCTGTCAGCTACAATCTCACTGTTGGGGACAACAGGAAGAAAACCAGCTACACTTTCCTGAGGCCAGTCCGCATCAACCATATCATCTGCAATGTCACCATTCAGTCCATTAAGATTTGGGCTATACCCAACCACATCTCCATTTGGCCCATTCAAACTCGGACTATATTCCACATCACTAGCAATGTCACCGTTGGGCCCGTTCGGGTTTGGGCTGTAACATGAACTACTACTGGAGACAGTTGATGAACCCGTTGATCCGGACCCACTGGAGCTAGAACTAGTACAGCTATGTTCACTTCCACTGATGCTATGAGAAATATTACTGACCTGTGACCTACTGCTGGAACTGAACTTACTGTCTGCATCCAAAACACTTAGTCCCCTTAAACTGTCACTTCCAAAATTTGAGATGCTGTTGTCCAGAGTTTCATCCATGGGATCACACCTTTCTGTTACTGTAGCACTAATTTCCATTGGGGTTGCATCCCCATCATCAACATTGTTAAATGAAAAACTAGCACAAGTTCTCTGAGTGTTCAGATAGGGTGAATCGGATGAAGCGTTTGTTGGATAATTTATGTGGTCATACATATGACTAGCATAGGGACCACGCCTCATGCCTGTAAATTGAGGATGCTCACACTCTGATTTGTTTGTGCTCCCACACTCCTGGCAGACATCTCTGTAATCTAGCTCCTCACTTAGAGATAAGCTGGGGGTTTGCTTGCTGTCAGCCTTTGTAAAAAGAATCAGAGGACGTCTGAAACCTGAAAGTGAAATACACAACAAAGAAGAAACATGTCATTCACAAATATCAGTATAATAAACAAACAGTGCAAGAGTACAAATGTTTAAAAAAAAAGTTTTACCAAGTTTAACATGCCTGTCCTGAATTTTCAACATTACTGATTAGGTTAAAGGGGGCAAATGTAAATGAACAATTTTTTCAAACAAAATGTCTTCCTTCTTTTACAAATTTGCAAAATAATTACTAACCTTTGGCTTTGGTAACAGGTACTCCAATGACTTCACATTTGACAAAGCCAATTGATAATAAATAATGCTTGAAGCCTTCTGGTTTAAGCTTAATTGACTGGTACTTTGCAAATAATTCAGACTGAATAAAGGAACAAAATTATTTTATTTTTAATAAGTTTGACATTATTAATTTACTAAAATTCTTATATTTTAAATATAATAAAAACTGACTTTTCAACATCTATGAACTGAAACTGAAAAATTTCTCAAATGAATAAACAACATAACTATTGAACAATGCAGTAATGCATCATACCAAAATTAAATTTATTCCTATCAATAAGCAGCAGTATTAATAGACTGCCTTTTTTGCTGCCAACATGGTAAAAAAACAAAAAAACTAAATAAGATGACTTACTACATAGTAATAATAAGAATTATGTTCTATGACTCTAACTTACGGACAGTTTCGCTCGCTTTCTGTAGGTTGACCAGGGCTGAGGCTCTAAAATCAACCTCCCACCAGGACGTAACTGTCTGAAAATCTTCTGAAAGAAGAGCTTCAATCCATTATCGCCATTGTTCAAGTGGATCCATTTCGTGATGGAAAGAGCCAGAATGATATCGTACTCTTCCTTCTGCAGATTCAGGATTTCTTCACTTCCTGGCACATAGTTCCCCTAAAGGAATTGTAAAATTATAAAAACCAAATATAAGATTCACCATTATTTATTGAAACTTTCTTAACCTTTTCGTTACCGATGACGTCAACACGGTCTCACGATCACCCATTTTCAATTACCAAGGACGTTACATTGTCGTCATAACAAAGATGCAAAGAACTTTTCTGAAATACCAAGGATGTCACGTCTACGTCATATTTCAATTCTATATATTTCTTTATTCGTTCCTCTATAGAGAAGTTAATACCGTAAGCGAATCGGATAGAGAATGGAAAAAATACCGGAAGTTTCAGCTTTAGGTTTTTTTTTTATTGTTGAGTCAGCAAAAATTGATGCTTTAAAACCAGCAGTAATGAAGGGGTTAACTCATGAAGATAATTACATAAAGAAATATGTTAAATATAATTAAATAAATAGATATTTAAATGCTATGACTATGGGAAAATAATTTGCATTCCACACAAAAAAAACTATATAAATAATTTAATTACATTGACTCACCTGTAAAAAAAGAACATTGTTTGGAAATTGATCTGATGATCCCATGAGAGGGTGTGCTTCTAATGGTCCTTTTGTCATTTCAAATACACGAGGGTATTTGGATGAATCTTTTCTGCGTAGACTTAACATATGCCGAATATTTTGCCGAGCAGCTTGAATAAGCTTGCCATCAATATCCATACCAAGAATTTTGTGTGGGTGATATTGTTCAGCTAAAGCAAGCGTAATGTGTCCAACATTGCAACCAATGTCTAGGACATCTTTGTCCTTAAACCAAGTGGGATTAAAATATTGTAGTCGAGGATCTGGCTCGTGATCTCTGTTACGGTATCCATAATACCGGTTATAGTTTCCTAGTGTGAACATGGGCTTCTCTGGGAATTTTGTTGGCTCATTGGGGCCGGTTCTGGATTTGCTTCCACTTAGTTGACGCTTGAATTTTCTTTCAGGGCTCATGCTTAGTGATCTAGATCGAGATCGACTATTGTTGAAAGTGTTTGATTTGGTAGGTGTTGGGACATCTATTGATTTGGGCTTTTTAATGCTTGTATCTTCCTCTATTGGTGTAATTTCACAGTGAGACTCTGATTCCACATCTGTGGCTATATCTGTGCCACAAACAGATTCTGATGCAGGTGTACAAGTTGCACCTGATGGACCAGCTTGTTGTAAATCTTCATGCTTTTTCTTCTTTGATCTGTGACGTTTTTTAATTGTAGAATTTAGTAACCGGTCAATCACTTTTTGATCATGTTTGCCCTCCAAATTTAAAGGATCTTCTATATTTGGTGGTACTTTAACATAAACAATTTTTCGGAAATCTGGTGTAGGCAAAGGGGAACTTTCAGGTGTTTTTAAGTTGAGCAAACGACCTTCTTCACTGTGAGCCAGGCCATTAAGATTTAAGGGGTCATGAGCATCACCACCCATCAACTCCCATTTAGGCATGTGATCTCTCCTTGGCCTTAAATCAACAGATCCTAATCTTTTTCTTTTAAACTGGACATCTTTGTCATGGGGTCTCCCCATATTTGAACTTAAAGATAGTCTTCTTTTACGAAACTTGGGTGGATCTGGCAAACCTTCAATTTTTAAATTCTTTTCTAGAAGTGCATGTTTTCTGGATAATTCTCTCATTTCTTTGGAATTAGAACGAGGCCTTGGGTACATTGTTTTTCCCTGTTTACCACGGAAGGTCCGATTTTTTAACTTTTTCCGGTTATCACTTTTATCAAGTGAAGCTGGTTCAGACTCATAAGCTTTATCCTCATCTGTTGTCTTGTCATCTTTATTTTCAACATCAACATCACTACTGCTGCTACCACCCTGTTTGATATCAACTATTAATTTACTTTCTTGTTGCCCTCTATCAGTTGGCATATTGGGCTTTGTGAAGGTATTTTTATTAATACTGGGTCCGATTTGGGAAAAGATCGCCTCCTGGTCAGTTACCTTAATGCTTTGATCTATCTGTAATACAGTTATTGACGATGACGACAACGTTACTGATAGTGATAGAGAGTTTTCTTGTTTATCTGAATTTTCTTGACTGGCATTGACATGAGTATGAGTATGTCCAGCAGCACTATCAGGATGAATAATAGCCACTTCCAAAACATGTAACTTCTCATCCGGCACAGGTGTACCCAAACTATTTGATGCAGGTAAATCGGAAACAGCTGAGTCCATCTTTAAAAAAAAAAAAAAAAAAAGAAGCACAACCAGGGCTCTAAAACACAGCTCGCTGCCCGACATCCAAACTATTTAATGCAGATAAAACGGAAAAAGATGAGTCCATCTTTAAAAAAAAAAAAAAAAAAGAAGCACAACCAGGGCTCTAAAACACAGCTCGCTGCCCGACACCACAATAGAAAAATCTAGCAGACAGATCGTAAAAAGAACGACAGAAAGTCGCGGAAGTAAACAGGCAAGAGCACCACCTAGCGGACCTTGTTTTTGCACGGGCTACTTAATGTAAACAATAATGGAAAATAATATTTTATCGCTTCTAGTTCAAGCTAATGCACATTAAATACAACCAACAGGTAAGCAAACAATATTACGAAGCCAACCATACGCAGATAACCAACAAAGCTGCTGTAATTGCGGAGAAAAAAACATTTTCTTTGAGAAGACTGAACAAGGTGTTCTCCGATGGTAGCCATCAACTACCCTTTGAAGGACGCATGCGTACAGATGAAGCATTCTGGGAGATCAATTTCCGGGTTATATTTGTCGTCTGCAAGCGTTCATAGAAACCTACGAGTCTGGAGTTTTTGTCATAGTTCGTCAATAATTGTATTTTTTCCTTTTTTTTTTTTTTACGGCTAAGATCTGCTTATATTTGATAATTGCTTTTAATCATTTAAATTCAAATTTCTGGGAGATCAATTTTCGGGTTATATTTGTCGTCTGCAAGCGTTCATAGAATCCTACGAGTCTGGTGTTTTTGTCATAGTTCGTCAATAATTGTATTTTTTCCTTTTTTTTTTTTTTACGGCTAAGATATGCTTATATTTGATAATTGCTTTTAATCACTTAAATTCAAAATATATATTATATGTTATTTTCGATTAAATCTACGTATATCGACTGAATAAGTAAAAAATGATCACTTATACTTATAATTATAAGTCTAAATTAGTCTAAACTAAGTAATTTAGTAATTAAGTCAAACAAAGTTATTAAATAAAAAAGTAAATTAGTTAACATTAGTTAGTGAGCCTAAAAATAAAAATTAGAAGTAAGCAGTCTACGACCCGGGCTATGCCTACTTACTTTATTAGGCCTACTTACTATTATATCAAAAAAGATATGAATGCCAGAAATCCCAGTCCCAGGTTAGCTCAGCACCAGGACATGTTGTATTAATCCCCGCTACACTTACTGAAGTTACTGATACTGCAAGAACATTTCGTGCCAGAATTGGTCTCGTCAACCATCTGTGCACCCTCACTCACCCAATTTCAGTTTCATTCTTCAGTCAAGCAAAAATAATTCATGATAAAAATAAGATGATTTAAATGGTCATGGTTGATTTTTACTAACTATATTCTGGTACTATTCAAATTCAAGTACTACCTTTCACCTTTTTTTCTTTTTTCTTTCTTTGTTACACACTACAAGCCATCTTAATTTATATGATGATATTTTTAGCGTTTTTTAAACATAAAAGGTGCTGTTACTCATCCTGTCAATCTTTTTTGGGGTCATCCATAATGACATCATGCTGGGGGTGGGGGTGTCATGATTTCATGACAAACTATTAGGAATTTGTCTAAATTATGTGACAAATTTGTGACTTTGGGGAAGGGGGGATCCAAAATATGAGTCATTTAAATTAACATATTGTTTATCCTAGGTCATTAAAATTTGTAGTTTGGCTTTGCATGTCAAGATCAGATTCAGAAATATTAACATGCATGGCCTTTTTATTAGCAGGACAGGGGTTTTAGTAGCAATTATTATTATTTCTTTTCCTTTTACAGATCTTTTTAAAATTAAAAAAAAATTAAATATTTACCATTTACACGCTGTGTTGTAGTTAGGTTAGTGGTGCTAAGGGCAGGCCAAGCTTTTTTAACCCCCAATCTTCAAAGCAGCCCTCTTTCACCCTTTAAATGATTATTCCCTGACCTGCCATGCTGAACAGGACCATTCAAATACAGATGGACCAATCATAAAATTGTAAAATTACTTGGAAAATCCATTGAAAAAGGTGCAAATATGCAATTCACATGTGTTCTATGGCAAAAAACCCTGTTCTAAGTATCTACTAATAACTCATTAAATTTCTTTAGGTAGGCATTCCTTGGGCTGGGTTGCATTGCAAAATGCATGCACCATGTACTCAGTGGTTTAGGAAAATGGGTTGTAGAGGGGGTGTTCCACCCAGGGCGACACTTTTTTCTCCATATTGAGGGGCAAGATTTTCGGGCAACTTCAGAGTTCATTTGGTGAAGGTGGAGTGGCAAAAAGCTTGGCCTGCCCTGGGATGCAAAAACTCTATCTACGCCACTGCATGTACTGGCTGTTGAAAATGCAAAAATTTAATTTTTAATTTTTTCAATATCATTCTACTAAGTTACTTGATTTTAAACTTCAGTCAATATTTCAGATATTACAAAAATTGTAGGCCTAAAGACTTTAGTATATAACTGTTGGATAAATTGAGTCTATAATGGACAATGATAATAAGAAACTCAATGCATCGAAAAAGGGTTTCTCAGGTAAATGTATATTTTTGTAATAATATTTATAGTATATAAACAAAATAATATTGAATACAACAAATTATTTGTCATACTTTAGATCTTCTATTCACTTTTATGTAAAATTTTAAAATTATTTTAAGACCTATAATTTTTCACACAGCTCCTATAAAAAAAGCTGAAAAAGATGTAATTTCCAGTGATGTAACCCAAACAAGCAAAAAGAAGCAGAAATATGCAAGTGAATCTACAAATAAAAAGGTGATAACTTCTAAATAGCTTTTTACTGCTGAAATCGCTGAAGCATTAATAAAGCTAGATTTAATTTCAAAATAAATGAATTTTCTAAAAATATTGTGGTTGATACTAAAAATATGAAACTAAATAATTGCATTAGGGGAAGCTTATTAAAAAAATTCTCTATTCTTATCTAATTTGGTATGTCATTATCTTTTATGTTGTTGTATTTTTGGGTAGTGAGGAGTGTTTAAAGGAAAGTGATAAAAGTCAGAAATATTTAAGTTCGGGAATACTGAGGTCCTAGCAAATCAGTTTCGAAATTAGAATTTTTAAAAATTCAGGGAATTATAATGTACCCCGGTATACAAAAATTTCCAATGCTAAATCTGTCCAATACTAAAATAATTGTATGAAAAATCACATTAGGGAAAGGAGGTTAAGAAAATTCAGGTCATTTCAAAAGGGATCAAAGGTCATCGATCTGTACATAAGCCTCCATCTAACATTGTTTTCTTTACTGTGCTAAATATAGGATTGTGAGAAGAAAGAACAACTGAAGCCACTCTTCACTAGTTCACCAGGAGACTCGTCAGATAAAATGCCAAAGAAACAGGTATAAATTATTAAATTATTATCTATTATTCAAATTATAATAATTGTAATTACACAAACTTTTAGAAGCAAAAATATAAATTTTATTTTGTAATAACTGAAGTCACACGTAAATGAATTTCACAAATATAGGTGTTTTTTTTAGCTAATTATATCTTTATTGAATATAATCCTGATATGGTAACTTGCTTGAGCTATTTAAAAGAATGAAATAGTGAAACGAGGTATGTGGAAGCTTGAAAAAAGGTAACAGGACAAAAAACAAGGACGTTTCGGCATAAAGCCTTCATCAGCCAACAAAAGAAATGAAAATACAACAAAATACAAAATGTATTTTCATTTCTTTTGTTGGCTGATGAAGGCTTTATGCCGAAACGTCCTTGTTTTTTGTCCTGTTACCTTTTTTCAAGCTTCCACATACCTCGTTTCACTATTTCATTCTTTTACATAGCTTGAAAGCAGTCCCTTCATTTATTTATTTGAGCTATTTACTGTGTGTAAATATTTTCAGAAGGATATAAACAATATGAAAGACTCTTCTCCTAACAATAACAAGCATAAGAAGAAAATACTTCTGCATGTTAATGTCAGTCCAATTGAGGCAAGACATTTAATACCTATGGCTCAAAAAAAGTGCTCAAGTAAGAAAGTATCTAAATTGAAAAATAATGTTATTTTATTAATTACTATGTTTTAAAATGTTTATTAAAGGATTATAATACAATTCAATAAAATTTAAGTGTATGTATCTAGTTTTTAATTGCAAACACTGTGTTTCAGCAAAAGGTGAAAGTTTAAAGTTAAAGGGAGTTAAAGTTCCGAAAATACTGTCTGAAAATGAATATGAAGAGCTTTTCAACAGTGTTTTACAAGTTTCACAAGATGCTGAGAGTATAAAAAACAACACCCTTACTGAAAATGAGTATAATGACATCTTTAACAGTGTTATGCAAAAGACTTCAAATGATCCTGAAAGTATGCACAAACTTGAACTTTCTATGAAAAAAATTTCAAAGATGTAAATCTATTTTAAATTTGATATGTGTGCATATGTGTATATAAATCTGCTCTCTATTTTATATATAAATTGAGTAAAACAAAGGAGGGTTAAACCTGAAAAAAGGAACGCAACAAAACAACGAACGTGTCGGCAGGAAGCCTTCGCCAGCAAACAAAACAACAGAAAAAACAGTATAAAGAAAAAAATAGTACTTAGCTTTGAAGTAGTATCTGTGGGCAGCAAATGAATTGTGCACTTTCATTTGCTGCCCACGGATACTACTTCTAAGCTAAGTGCTATTTTTATTTGTATACTGTTTTCTCTGTTTTGTTTGCTGACGAAGGCTTCCTGCCGACACATTCGTTGTTTTGTTGCATTCCTTTTTTCAGGTTTAACCCTACTTTGTTTTACTCATTTTATATTGTGCTAACCTGATTGCAGTCTCTCCCCTTATTACCCTCTATATTATATAAGGGATAACATATTATTTATTTGTTAAATAACTTAACTTTCTCAACAGTAAGACATATTTTATTTATACATTAACAGGTAATATTGATGACATGAAAAAAAAGTTTGAAAATAAAAAGCCCATAAAGGAAGTCTCAGTCGATTGTGAAGAAACT